GGATATGTATTTCGAGGTCTTCTGTGTTTGGATTGTACTGTAAGATTTTGTTCTATTCTAAATTGCCTTGACATCCTTTTCTGGTTAATCTCTCTATTTGGTTCAGTAATATTCTGTGTAGTAGTTTTTCCGGATTTTGGTCTTCGTTTACTCCTAAAGTCATAAACATGATTTGAATGCTTCAGCTACATGTTCCGTACATTTTTAGACCAAAACTCACATGGTCTGTGGTAGTTGCTTTAGATTTCCAATAGATTTAGCAATGAACCAAACAGCGAGGTAGAAAAAGGATTAATGTAGGCCGACCCCAAATTTATTATGAAATAGGCTTAGTTTGTAATTATAAACGAATTTTAATTCTCCTCTAGCCTCCTTCCTTACAATTTCCCTCAATTAAAAAAGGTGTATAGAAGATATAGCTCTATGTTTGTCAGCTTTCTTAGTGGTAAATGCCTTATACAATGGCTTACTCTTTGTATTCACTTTATTTATTATTATTTTTTTACTTTATATCTTCCCTTTGATTTTTGTAACTGATATTATTTTCGATATAGGGAAAAAGACGCAGTTCAACTTCAACTTGAGTGGTAAGTTTAATAGCATCTATTTTAAAATTTCAATGTTAATTAGTATTTATTTTGGAGATATTTTTTGTATTAAGACTTATTTTCTACATGGCCAATTTTGTTCAGTTTTTATGTGATTTCTCATATTGGTCACTTTGTATATTGGTACTCGTCAGATTTATCATCTCCATGAATAAGGACATAGAAAGCACAGATTCGGATTAAAGTTGAAGTAAAATAATACTCTCTTCGAAATTTATGAGAAGAATTTGTACACTGTTGAGTTTTTCAAGCTCCACTACTAATCAGGTTGAGTGAAGATGATCCATGGCTCATGAATTTCTTATTTTAATAAGAGATCTTGAGAGAGAGCTGCTAATATTTCCATTTCATGCATACTTAGCTGAATGGATGGAGAAATAGTAACCTCTTTAGAAACTTTTGAAGGACAGCTAACTTGTAAGTGCTGGAAATAAAAAATTCTAGCACGTTAGTGAAAGCAAATGGGTACATGGGAATGTGATGACTTGCATACTTACCTGCTTAATGCTTAATGTCTGATATGTGAATTTATAATTCCTTTGTAATCATATAAATTTATAATGTGATCTTCAGCATGTGGGCTGTGATTTGAATTAAAATTGACTCAGTGAGAGGGTGGATTAGGTTTTATGATTTGTAGATGCTATTATGATAAGTTCTCAGTCCATTTTGCCTTTTCAACTGGATAAGTTGCACCTTGGTAGTTGAACTTCTGATAGCATTTGTGAAGGTGCATGAAGCATGATCTGGTCAATCTCAGTGTTTGCATAAAGCAAGGTTGGTCTTCTGAATCTTAGTACAATCTATTATTACGTAAACCTCATCCTAGGAAACTTGAATCTCTTTTAGATCGGCATTCATAACCACTCCCCCAAAAATTTTATTTTATTTAGTTTATTTTGATTTTGGTTTTATTATTGGTTATCTGTTCTTTTGAGTAGACAATACTAAAATTGTCATTTGAATGCGTAGTACGGATGCGTAATGTGGGAGTGTGAAACATGGCCATGCAGTAATTTTTAAAACTGTCAGTTGGAAACTGCTATAAAAACTAGAAATACATTATTCTGATAAAAAACCTGGGATTCACTTGATTTATTTCCCTTATATTTCATAATGTGTATCGTGCTTTTTCTAGTTACGTGCCATACTGAAGATAACAGAGAACATTTACAGATGGGACACACTTAGCTGTGTTCTTTGGCACATGACATTCTATGACTAAATTAACGCAGCTGCTAAACATATTGCGGCTAATCGCTGTACACTTTATGCTGTCAGTCTTGGCGATGAGCATGTTGGTTATCGGCATCTGGATTTTACAAATATAAAGTTGAGTATTGTTGGTGGACGGCCTTTTTCTTGTGGTGGTGAGCAGTTATTTCGGAAAGAGCTTCTTACTGCAAGGTTAGTAGTCTACTATTGCCAATTCAAAATTTTTGTACGCTATCCATTCAATCTCACTTGATCATCCTTTGAGTGGAAGCCATTCAATCTCACTCGATCATCCTTAAGTGGAAGCCATGGAAGAATGTTTATTTATTAATTTTTCTGAAGTAAAAGAGTGGAGTCAGTGTACAAGAAGGTATTTAAAACATAAAATGTCTATCGCGAACCTAAGATTTTAGGTGATATATACAGCATTTAAGTAACCTTCCTGCAATTTAATGTCAAGCTGAAGGATTTTTGCGAGAAGCACGAAAACTTAATGAAAATGTAGAGTTTCTCATATATAAAAAAACTATGGATTTGTAACTTCTATAATTTCGTGACATGGTACTTCAAGTTTCTCTTTCTCTTGACTACCTGAGCAATAACGGAAAGTTAAAATATAATTCAGAAACAAGAAATGCAATGAGGTAATTGGAAACTTCTATGAACATAAGGTATCTATTTTTGTTGTTGTTGTTGTGAGGTAAATGGAATATATAATTACTTTGAAAGATTCTAAAAGGATTTATAATTGCATCTAAACCTAAACTGTCGCACTGATCTATCTAGATGAGCATCGACTATATTTTCCATGCATATGCTATAGATCAATGGGCTCAAGTCCTTTTGACCACCTTTTCGAACCTGTGTTTTCTCTACATTGGCTTACACTTGGATGGTTTTTTAAATAATTTTGGCTTACATTTGGATGGTTTAAAAGGTTGAGCGAAGATGATCCATGGCTCATGAATTTCTTATTTTAGTAACATATTTTTTTAGAGAGCTGTTAACATTTCCATTTCATGCATACTTAGCAGAATGGATGGAGAAATAGTAACCTCTTTAGAAACTTTTGAAGGACAGCTAAATTGTAAGTGCTGAAAATAAAAAATTCTATCACATGTTAGTAAAAGCAATGAATGATTCTTTTTTACCATGCCCCTTGGCATTACCAGGGCCAATGTGGCCATGGTAATGTAGTATGCTTCAAAAGCAATTGGGTACATGGGAATTTTTAGCAACGTAAACTGCCTCCACGAGTGACATTTTTACTATGTACAGTTGTGAGGGGACATGTGGTAATGGCGGATAATCTTCGAATAAGGGATTTTTATGTTATAGAGTGGTGTTATATGTGTAAAAGGGATGGGGAGACGATTGACTCCTTGTTCATTCATTGTGATGGTGCTCGTTTGTTGTGGAACGAAATTCTGGTTTCTCAACATATGGATTGAGTGCTGCCAAGACATATGGAAGATATGTTAAAGGCATGGAGGAGTAGGTTTCGTGATAAGGATAACAAGCTTGTTTGGGACCTTATTTCTGGCTGCATTTTATGGTGCATGTGAAGAGAAAGAAACATCCACTGTTTTGACGATCAAACACAGACAACAGAATAGATTAGGGAATTATTTTACTTGACATTGTATAATTGGTTTAATGTTGTGGCTACTAGTCATATAGATGGGTTACCTAATTTCATGTTGTTTGTTTCTTGTTTAAATTGATATTACAATTTCAATGTGTTATCCATTGATTAATAAAATATTTGATTACCTATCAATAAAAAAAAAATAAAATCAAAGACAATTGCAGTATGTGTCAAAGTCGGTAGCAATCAGAAAAGTGATTTTAAAAATTAACCCAACCCCCACATCACAACTGATTTGCTGTATGATATGTGCACATGGAATAGAGAGATTGCATGTGGATTTTTTTTGTACTTGTATATTTTTCATATCTATGTGAATTAGAGGAGTATATGCTATGCAGCAACAAGAAGATACTTTGTTATTTAACATGAAAGATAAAAAATAATTACAAACTGCAGTAATAATGAAATTATTGACTGGGTGTGATTTTGCTAATGCTCCCTTATAAATAGGCTCTCTTATCTAATTTCCTTGTGATTGTTTGTGAGTAAAAACAATCTAAGAGGCTAAGACCTAATATTAATTAAAATATGTAAAAACTATATGATCATTGCTAACATAGAGACGCTTACACGTCCTTTTTTTTTATCCTTGCAAAATTGATTTTTCCCATCCTGGAGTGGATAGATTGCAATTAACCGCATTGCAATTATATCAGATATGGTATCCATGACATGAACGAAAGCGCAAAGACGATTTATCAATCTGCTTTAAGGACTCCCGAGGATCATTCAGTTGTGTTCCTTGCTCATAACGGGCCAACAGGTTCACCAATCTGTGAAACAAAATTTAGTATTTTCTTGCAACCTCAATGTATGTGGAGGATCTTGCCTTGTATTGATATGATGGGTAATATGATGCAGGTCTAGGATCCAATGTGGATGATATCTGTGGAAGGAATTGGGTTATTGGAGGTGGTGACCATGGTGATCCAGGTGATTATTCTGCTTCTAAATGCACAATAGCTCCTGTGATTATTTATCTGGCTAATTACATCCTCTCATCTTGATGCAGTTTTGATTTTCTGCACACTGTTATTTTAGCACTCCATATGCGATGATTAAACAAGCTTTTTATTCTACAGATTTAGCAAATGCAATATGCCAATTAAAAGAGACCACCAAATTGTCTATCCCACTGGTTGTCTTTGGTCACATGCACAAACAGCTGGCATATGGAAATGGTCTTCGGAAAATGATTGTGGTTAGGGATAACAACACTGTATACCTCAATGGGGCCATTGTTCCGAGGGTCAAAAGATTGGGCAATGAACCGGGGGAGTATGCTAGGAGCTCCATCTTTAGTGAGACATCAGTTGAGACTTCAGAATCGCATGGTACCATTCGAGCCTTTACTACTGCAGACATTTTAGATGGGAGGGTGGAGAAAATTGCTGAAACTTGGGTTTCAGTAATTGGTGATAAAACAACATTAGAGGAGGAGAATATATTATTTAGCAAGGC